AAAGAAAATTGGAAAAATAGGAGGAAACCGGCCTCCAAACACCGAGCTTCCACTAAAGAAAAATGGCAGTAAAATACAACTAATACAAACAAAATGACATTAGTATAAGTAGTAGCAGTAACTATTAGTTATGATATGTAAATTTTAAAGCTAGTGAGACTCTAGTCTAGGTATTTTTGCTTTGTCTCTCTTCGCTTTTGTCCTATAATTTTGAAAATGTATATGTCGTAAACATTCCTTATTTACGAGTATATTATTGAAGCTTTCATCGTTGCGTCCGCAATAAAATTTATGCATACAAAATTTGAATGTTTTGACGGGAGGAAAATGACTGCTCTTCAAAAGTATAATTATTCGCTTGGCCTTAATTCAACAGCAGTTAATAACTAAATCCTAATTGGCTGATTAAGTTGACGTTTTACTGGTAAAAAGAAGAAAAAAAGAAGAAGAAGAAGAAAAGTAATGTTATATCTTTCTAATATTTTGTAAAGAAAATACTAAGTACAAAGTAAATATTTTTAATGACATACAAATATAATGCACATCAATATTATTATTGATCGTACACAAGTAGGAATATTACAAATTAGTTGGAGGATTTAATAGAAAAAAAACTTAGGTATAATTTCATAAATATGATTGGTGTAACGAGTCAATATTTATGAAATTATAACTTAACATCTAAGTAGTGAAAATAAATAATTAAATAAAAACGAAAACTACAGGATGCAAAATTAAACAGAATTGGGTTATAAATAGGCGAAATTAGTTGGTGTAATGAAAATTTTATAAAATAATAAATTAAATTAGGAAAAGGGAGAGAGTTATGTTACCATTCAGCAGTGTCTATATATTTATGCAACAAATATATACATAGGGTGTAAAAATCATAAAATAATTTTTGTCAATTTAACTTGAAAACATAAAGTCTCTAATGTGATTATAATAAAATAATGTACGTATATGCAAATATGCATCTAGTATAAGATGCTGAAAACATGAACTCTAATAATGTTAATCAAGCATCTACTCTAAACAAGCTACATCAAAGTAGCCTTAAGCAAAAGAGCGACATCTCAAGCATGATACTCAAACAAATAGTCTTTTAGTCTAATCCTACTTTACTCCTATATTAATATGATCATCATGGCTCAACAACAAGAAAAATGTAAGGGTAAGCTTGAAATCAAGAAACTACATAATATAGAAGCAACTAAGCTAACTATATAAAACAATTCCATCAACAAAATACATCAACAATCTAACCTCAATTTCAATAACAAAAATCAACATTGATCACAACTCTTTAACTAAACAACTTTCAACATGTCAACTCAACATATAAACAACACAAGTTGTTAACAACTCAGCCACATAACAACTAAACAACATATCAACTTACAATACAATACAACTTAACAATATATCAACTTAAACAACATTGTAACTTAATGTGTCGTCATGCATTTCAACTAAGAGATCTCTTACAACAAGGTGAGTAATTTAAGCGGTTTGACCTTATCACACCAACTTAACAACACAATTTTTTTGAGTTTGCTAGATCAACAATAAATTTGGATATCAATCTAAACCATAACATGATTTCTCAGATTTTATTACTTAAACTAAGAAATTCTAGTATTCCTGTCAAGAAAAGAACAACTTGGATATGAGACTAGCATGACCTTAGCATGCATAACTAAATCTATATAGAATAGCCTGACAATTATCCTCCAAATATTGTTCACATTTCTAGTAATTAGTTAGGAATTTTGCCCCCATACGACCATGAACTCGATTGATTGCTTATATTTGGCAGAGAGTTCTTGAGCAATCATGCTTGATGCCTCTTATGTTACGTTCAACATGACCAAGTTAGAGAACTCTTAACTAACTCATGCTCGGTGTACCAATCCCATGCTCGATGTTTGTGAGGCAGAACACCCTTGACTTGCCTCATGCTTAGCGCTATGAAGTTGCACCCAGCATAATGATGAATTTTGCACTTAGAAGAATCACGATTTTAGCTCAAACCTGCATCAAACTTGGTTCCAACCAACATGCAACCATTAATATCACATATATACTTCGTAAGCAATTCATTTCCGACCAAAAGAACAACATGCAACCACAAATAAGAACAATTCATCAATTTCCTTCTCTTTTCACCAATAACCACAGGAAAACCAAAATAAGAGATTTTCAACTCACTCATCAGCAACACAGCCACAAGAGACCAATCCATTCAACATTCCTTATATACAACACATCAAGAATAACACTATGAGCTTCCCTTACCTCAAAATCACAAGAGGAGAGAAATAAGGAGGAGGAATGGCGAAGAACTCTATTTTGAGCGCTCGTCGCTCGACGACACCACCAACACTTGATTCTCAACTTTGAAGCTTTGAATCACAAATCAACAACACAATCCATGCTTTGGGAAATGATAGGAGCAACCTGTGAAGTTAAAAGGAAGAACAATTCTCCTTTGACTCTAGAACTTATCTCTCTAACCTCTATGTTTCTTAAGAAAGTAAATTTATGAATTTCAAGTCATGAGAAAACCTTATATAACTTTTCCTAAACTTGGTCAATAATATAACCTCAACTCAAAACAACTACTAAACAACTAAACTCATTGTAAGAATTACTTAATCACTAGAGTTTTATAACAACTAAACCACAAATCACAAAGTTCATTTAATTAATAAAATTAACTAAACAATCATGAAACTCATATGTTACAATTGGTGTTATTCTCTAATAAGAGTTGGAGTTTTACCTTGGTATTATGTATTTGTATTTAATGTTGATCTCATTAATATGCCTTTATGCATATTACTGAGGTAAAACTCCAACTTTGCTTGGAGAACACTATCAACCACATTTAAGAAAATGTATCTAAGTTTTGTCCTTAGAGTTATTAAGAAAAATATTAACACTCATTTATAAGATTTCCAATTAATATATAAAAAACACATTTTTAAGATTATTTTAATTTTTTTAAGGTTAAATATTTTTTCAGTCCCTATAATTTCATTTAATTTACTTTTTAATCCCTATACTTATCTTTCTTAATCCTTAAAATTTAAGATAAATCTTTTTAGTTCCTATACTTGTAATTTTTTTTATCCTTTTAGTTTTTGTTATTATTTTTTTTTTGTAATATTGTCTCTTTTATGTTGATCAAACAAACATATTAATTCAACTTTATATGTCTAATATCAAATTTATTTTGCTGAAGTTATTCTAAATTAGGTCTTTCAACACTTTGTACCTCTTTTGTATTCTCACTTATGACACCATTGTCTAATACCCTTTTTTTAACTCACAAAATTAAAGATATCTACTATATTAACACAAATTAGACAATGTTACAAAAAAAATTAGTGATAGAGACTAAAATGATTAAAAATTACAAGTATAAGTATTAAAAAGATCTATCTTAAACTATAAGAACTAAAAAATAGTTGAAAAAGATAAATATAAAGACTAAAAAAATCCACTTTAAATTATAAAGACTAAAAGATAAAGTAAGTCAAATTATTAAAATTAAAAATATATTTTAACTTTTTTTTTAATTATTAGGTATACTTTTATGTTGAATATAGTTATTAACACATGAGCACCCAAGGTAATACGAAATTTCATCAAATAAAAAAATTATTAAAAGCAGTGGATAAAATATCTTATTATTTAAAGTATGAATTCTACTAAGGATATGTTTGTACTAATTATTTCTCTATAAAAACTTTTAAAATAAGAAAATAAATAAATAAAATTTTTAATACGCTAAAATTAATTTATATATGCAAGTTAAAAAATATATTTAGGATAAATACTACAAATTAACTTACAATATAAGTGTTTGTAGAGATTTTTTTTTTGAGGTTTTTATTAAAAATAATGGTGAAACTACATTGGTAATATTAAATGTAGCATTTTCATTTTTTTTTTCAATTTGACTCTCAAGTAAAACCTTAGTTCTAGTTTAAGGAAAATAAATATTAAATCAATTGTATTAATGGTATTTGTTACAATACTTTTGAATGGTATTCGTTACAATACTTTTTTTTCTTCAATTTTATTGATGTCATTTGCTTTAAAATTTTGGAAGGAATGAAAGGAGAAATGAAAAGATCTTTCTCTGTTATTTTTTACTGTCCGAGATATTTGGTAGAGAATAAAAGTGTTTTGTAATTTTTTTTTATATAAAAAGTGTTTCTTAATTTTTGATAAGATTGTTTTTGCTAGTTATAATAATTTTATTCGCCTCGAGTTAAATTATCTTTCATACAAATGCTTCAAAAAAAAATGTGTTATAATTATTTTCCATCCTTTCCCCATCCACATCTTCTAATATCTTTACATCACTGATCAATTAAATATGAGCTCCAACAACAATTATATATTATCTGTTTTCAGTTTTGGTGTAAAAACTTGTGAAATTAACAGCAATTACAATATCGTGAAATTAGTTTTTAAGTCTAATAAGATAAAAAAAAAATGTGATTGGAAAAAAAATTATGCCAAAAATTATATAAACAAAAATTATAAATTTAAACAACTACAAGTAAACATTTGATATACTCATTTAACACCTTGTTTATTATGGATTAAAGTTTATTACAAATTATAAATAAAAATTTATTATTAAAATTTATCAATCGAATATATATAATTTCACTTGTGTAGTGAGGAAACAATTTCTAATAAGCTGCCGGTTCGTTAATACCATAGTTCCTGTCTATGCATGTTGGTCTGGAAAATAACCCAAACATTAGATTTAAGTCTCACATTCAATCACTGTTGACGGAGAAAGCATAGGTCTCTTCACGTATCATCTTCTCCATCTCCTTCTGTACCAAATATCAATATTCCAATATTCTATTTCTTGGTCAGTGCATTATTAATATCAGTGTTGATTATTGGCTTTGCTAGTGAATTCAATCACAAGATTCACAAACCCTCCTAGCTAGCTGTTTTCTTCTTCCATGCACCCTTTTACCTTGTCACCATCATTAATATCAATTTAGTTTACATGATATGTCACCCTTTTACATATAAACAGCAATATCATACCTGCTATGGGATGCATTTGTGGCAAGTTTTCTCCCCCTCGCAGTGCTGAGAGGCCGAAGCGGCAAGTGAGGAGAGAGGGTTCCAGGACACGTTCCTCTAAGCATGTGGGAGAGAGGGTTAAGAGGGAGACTCAGAGACAAAGAGTAAGTGTGCATGCTAAGAAGGGTGAAGAAAATGCTTCTGGAGGAGGAGAAAAGGAAAAACCGGTTGCTAGAAAAGATAAGAGTAAGGTAGTGGAAGATGTTGCTGGAGAAAATAGTAAGAGTAAAGTTGGGGAGGTTAGAGAGAAGAAGATGGCCAAATATGAATTTGTGGGTGGGTGGCCAAAGTGGTTAATTGATAACATCCCCACAGATGTTTTGGCTAATATTGTTCCAAAGAGTGCTGATTCCTATGAAAAACTTGCCAAGGTAAGTATCATCACCGTGCACCAACATTGAGTTTAATTTTCATGCATTTTTGGATAACTTACATTGCATAATGAAATATTTGTGTAATTAATGTGATGTGACATGCATGGAGAAACTTCGTTCAGAGTATATTACTCACCTACCTGTTGTGTTGCAGATAGGACGTGGAACATATAGCAATGTGTACAAAGCAAGAGAAAAGGGCACAGGAAAGATCGTTGCTTTGAAGAAGGTGCGGTTTGACACATCGGATACTGAAAGCATTAAGTTTATGGCGAGAGAGATCAGGATACTGCAGATGCTGGATCATCCCAATGTCATCAAACTTAGAGGACTAGCAACATCAAGGATGCAGTATAGTCTTTATCTAGTTTTTGATTTCATGCAATCTGATCTGACCCGAATTATCACCCGACCCGGTGAGAAACTCACCGAACCGCAGGTAATTGGGTTTCTATTTGATGCTTTTAACAGTCAGAAGCTTAGAATTTGAGATGTTTGCAATGTCATCTATACTTTGATATGCATTACACCATATTAAATAAAATGACTAGTTTTATTGTGACATAATGCAGTTTCTTTTTTTGGATTAATTTTATTTTGTGCAAGATCAAGTGCTATATGCAGCAGCTGCTTTCTGGGCTGCAACACTGCCACGACAGGGGAATTATGCATCGAGATATTAAGGCTTCTAATTTGTTAATAGACAGAAGAGGGGTGCTGAAAATTGCAGATTTTGGGCTTGCAACTTCCATTGAAGCAGAAAGGCCTCTTACAAACAGAGTGGTGACACTTTGGTATAGAGCTCCAGAACTTCTTTTGGGTTCAACCGATTATGGATATAGCATCGATCTCTGGAGTGCAGGGTGCTTGTTGGCTGAGATGTTTGTTGGAAGGCCAATTATGCCTGGCAGAACAGAGGTAAAAGTTTTTTTATTTTAATTCATATATACTGTGTGTATGCAATATCTCAAAACTGACCATTAAGGATAAATACACAAAGATTTTAGTTTCAAAAGCCAAGAATATTCTCGATTCCATGTTCAGATATTTCATATTTATATGTTCAGAGCTTTTGAAAAGCTAGTTTTTCTTATGAGAAGATACGACAAATTAATGAATCCAATCCTTTGTATTCAACCTTTTCTACTGAATTAAAAAATATTTGCCTCATGCATGCATGGTATCCTATGTTTCTAACCTTTTCGAGTGAATAGATTAAAAGCTAGTTTTTCTTATAAGAAAATACGACAAAACTTTGTTGTGAAGTCCATCTCTCTAAGTTTTGAATCTCTAGTCTGAGTAAAGAAGAAAAAAAAATGATTGGCCTCTTCTGTTTGAATTTTTCTTTGTAAGGATCTTTTGTTTGAATTTGGTGAAGGCCAAGAAGGTAGTTACTAGAAATAAAAAGGAAATACAGAGGACATAATAGTTAAAGGAAATAAATACCTTGCCGTCCAATTATTAAATTTGGAAATTGGATCCTTTCTTTAATTTTTACTACTCCAAGAGAGAAGGTTACAGTTTGCATCGTTTGTTCATGTCTCATGCATGTTAGAGGAATTCATGGTTTTCTTATCTTGTCTTTAATTCTATCCTTTCACTTTTCATTCTGGATGGACTTATCATCATGGTTGTTTATGTCTTGTATGAATCCAATGCCTTTTTCTTGGATGTGATCGGTAAAATTAGAAGATAAATCAACAGAAAGAGGATAAACTAGCCAATTGGACTAAAATATTTGTTAAAATTAGTAGCTAAATTAACTGAAGGGTAAAACGATGTAATATAAATCTGCATGCTTAATTACGTTGACCATTATTTGAAATTTGGTAACTACATATATTTTCAAACAAATATTAATCTTTGTATTTTAATTTACTTCAAATAATTAATCATCTTATAAATTATGATAAAAATATTTTTTAATTTCATTTGAATTTTAAAATATTTTAGTAAATAAGATTAGATAATATAAACATATCTATAATAATATACCTTTGATGATTTTGAGAGATAGATGAGCGTGGAAGAAAGTGTCAAGTGCTTTTGAAAATGAAACAAGGTAAAGGAAGAATATTTAACTCCATGATCAAGCAACTGAGATTAACTCCCTGATAGAAAAAATTCTAATAAATGAAAAAAAGGGAGAAAAAGGTTTAGAATTTGTAAGTTTAAACACTAAATGAATTGAGAAAAGGTGATTGTACTAAGCATTTAATGTGTATAGGTTGAGCAGATTCACATGATCTTCAAACTGTGTGGTTCCCCTTCAGAGGATTACTACAAAAAACTGAAGCTAACAACAAGCTTCCGGCGGCCTCCACAGCATTACAAACCCAGTTTCCAAGAAAACTTCCTCAAGTTTCCTTCCTCTTCGCAAGGTCTCTTGGCTACACTTCTTGATCTCAACCCTGACCTACGTGGCACTGCTGCTTCTGCTCTCCAAACTGAAGTGAGCCTTTCTGCTTTTGCTTGTGTCACTAACAACTTATCTTATGTTGCTCTCACAAATTGCAATGTCATAACTTTTTACTGCTTCCAGTTCTTCAAATCTAGTCCATTACCATGTGACCCTTCAGCTTTGCCAGTAATCTACAAAGACGAGGATGAACGCTTACAAACTAAGAAAAGCAAAAGGTATGCTATTTATCAGTTCAACATTGGAAATAAGTTTCCTTTTTTTTTTTCTTCTTTCATTGATTGAAGTAGTATAAGAGAATTTCCAAATTGATATTTATAGGTAAAAATTCAAGTCTCACGTTACAATAGGAAATAACATCAGTATACAAGTTGATTTTGTAAAGATAAATTTGACTCAAATTCACATTTTAAGAATATTTAAAAATTTGAACTAAGTGCAAAGTTGGCTTTCATATACTCCTGTTTATCTGAAAATATTGATGTATTTGTTGCTTTTCATGATGTAGGCAAAGGGTTTCTAAAAGAGGGCAACAATCTCAAACGACTAGTAGTGATGCTACTCAGTCAGGAAAGAACCAAATTGCTGAACAAACCCTTGGAGATACAGAATCATCAAAAGAGGTGATTCATCATCACACATACTAAATCCTTTAAAAAATAAAACAATCTTGTGCTATGTATTATGTTCATGTTATTGTTAATGCATTTTTATACTATTAAATGGTGGCATGCATCCCTTTGTTATTATGTGAAAAAAAAAAAGTCCTAATTTAAGTGACCATAAAGTAATAAATTATGCACATTTTTGGCTTTAACAGAAGCAAATTGAACATCAAAAGCAAGGTCATGAAACGGGGAATAGTGGTAGCAGCACATCATCAGGGTCAAGACTATTTTTGACTGAAGGGAACAGCAGCATGAACACATCTTTATCCCCATTTTCTCTCTCTAGTGGTAGTGTGAGAAAGTCCCCCAAAACATAGGGCCATCCGAATGCCCTTAAGAACATAAAGAACTATAGTGTCCTCTTACAAGCATCTATGATAGATATGATCAACCGCAATGAAGGCAACGATTTTTCACAGCTTCGGAGGTCCTTCTCTGCCTTGGATTTTCGACTTGAACCAGAGAAGCTACCAGACCTCTATACCTTAACTAAAAACATTTAATTTTGGCCAATTCTAAACATTATATTTTTTTCATTATCATTTAGTTATGTTCGTCACTTCATTAAAAGAGTCGAAATCTTTTAATTAATGTGACAGATATGATTAATTGGTAATGAAAAAAAAAAGTTCGGATCAAAATTAAACTCTAAATAAAAAGATAGCTCGTGTAAGTTGATTATCTGTTTAGGGTGATTTGGGTGTTTTTATTCTAGTATTTATTTTATTTGAGTCACTCTTCCTTGTCGGAAGTTGTGATAAATAAACGAGTCCCTATTCTGGACACGTTGCTACTTAGTAATTCCATAGAAATAATTTTCGAGTGGAATAAATAGTATAGGATGTCTGTAGTGAGACATGCTAAAATTAGAAGATAATGTGATTGTGTTTTCGTTTGCGTTCAATCTGGAATTCTTTTTATTACGATGAATTGTTAATTTTTTAAATAATCGCTGGTGCAATTTCTCATTTTAGAGAGCAAGAAACTTATATAAAATTAGATAGGGGTGGCAAAAGAGGTCAGTCCGACCCGTTTTGGCCCGGCTTGTCAAAAATGGGCCAGGCCAGACCGTCAATAGAAAATGGGTTGGGATAGCTGGCCCGTCCTGTTTAAGGATGAGCTAGCGAGTCGGTGGACCAGTCCACATACCACAAAAAAATTACAAAAAAAAAATATTTTATGTTCAAATAAAAAGAAAACTACTACAAATAAATAAATATAACCTTACAAAATTAAAAATGCATACATATTATACATAATATATGTTCAACAAAAGCAAATTACAAACTTATAACAAAATCAAATAGAAATTAGTTCACTTAAACCAAAATCAAAATCAAATTATAAACTTACAAATTACTAATAAACTAAGTTTTTGATAGTCCACAAAACAAGTCCAAATACAATTAATTAACTTTAGCTTTCTATTTCAAGAACATTAGAAGCTCCCTTGAAAGAAGTTGTCTCTACTTTTTTGTGTTGATCATATTCATCCTTATCTTCTACATCAAAATAAATTAAAAAATAAAAAAATTAAAATATGCAGGTTGGCGGGTTGTGACAGGCCAGCCCACTATTTGGCCCGGTGGGCTAGTGGGTTTGGCGGGTTGAAATATTGGGCCCGGCCCGCCAATTTTTTGCGGGCCAATGGGCTAGCTCGCGGGTCACAGCCCATTTTTCCATCCCTAAAATTAGGCATGGACAAAAGTTTCAAACTCACTAGAATCTCTTCCGAGTCTCTTAGCAATATTTCGTAATATATGTGTGTGTGAGGAATGATTCGTTTACTCCTAGAGTAAGTCTATCTAGACTTACTCCATTCAATAATTCATGTTCTACATAAAATTTCAACAATTTAACCATTGAATTTAAAGATCTTAATGTATAGATCAAATCTATAAATTTTTAAAATATTTAAAAATCATTTGATACTTCGTTTCATTAATTCAAATCAATGTATAAAATGATTTTATGATTATCCGTCAATTTGAATTAATGGAATGAAGTATCAAATGGTTTTCAAAATTTTTAAAAATTTGTAGACTTGATCTATGCATTAAAAACTTTAAATTCAATAATTGGATCATTTAAATTTGATGTAGAACATGAGTTATTGACTTACTCCGTTCAATAATTCATGTTTTACATCAAATTTCAACGATTCAACCATTGAATTTAAAGTTCTTAATGTACATAGATCAAATCTACAAATTTTTAAAAAATTTGAAAAACATTTGATACTTTGCTTCATTAATTCAAATCAATGTATAAAATGATTTTATGATTATCCGTCAATTTGAATTAATGGAATGAAGTATCAAATGGTTTTAAAATTTTTTAAAAATTTGTAGACTTGATCTATGCATTTAGAATTTTAAATTCAATAGTTGGATCGTTGAATTTGATGTAGAACATGAGTTATTGACTTACTCCGTTCAATAATTCATATTCTACATCAAACTTCAACGATTCCATTGAATTTAAAGTTCTTAATGTATAGATCAAATCTACAAATTTTTAAAAAATTTGAAAATCATTTAATACTTCGTTTCATTAATTAAAATTAATGTATAAAATAATTTGATGATTATCCGTCAATTTGAATTAATGAAATGAAGTATCAAATAGTTTTTAAATTTTTTAAAAATTTGTAGACTTGATCTATGCATTAAGAACTTTAAATTCAACAGTTAGATCATTAAAATTTGATATAGAACATGAGTTATTGAACGGAGTAAGTCTAAGTATATATATATATATATATATATATATATACTAAGTCATGAATCATCTTAATCTCCAACTCTATTTTAAATTGAGTTCTCCGTAATCTAGGTAATACAAATATTTTAATTGAAATTAAAATTGGGTTGCATAAACAATATGAAATTAGTAATTGTTGATTAATTAATTGCGTTCGATATTGTGTCTCACATCTTTTGTTATTATTGTAATAGAATATGTTTTTCTTTAAGTGTTTTTTTGCGCAACATAACACTACTTTAAATAACATATTTTTTTGGTCAAAATTAAGTAATGTAATGAAATATTAATTAATTTTTATTTGCATATATAAAATCATATAAACTTATAATTTTTTATAAAAAATTTTAATTTAATGATTAGATTGATTAATTTTATATTCTACAATTTTTTTTAAAAAAGTATAAGCACAAAAATGTGACACACGCACGTTATTTTCTAACTCAAATTCTTTTCTGAAATAAGGATATTGATTCAACATGATAAGATAAGTAGTATGATAAAACAATCTTATGATTATGATCTATATATTAAATAATTTGTTAAAATAAATAAAATAGGATGATTATTCTATCATATTTTAGTCACTAATCAGATCCTAAAAAAATAATTAAACTTTTTTATTTATGTATTATTTTTTATTTTATAGAGATAAAAAAAATTAAAAAAAAATAGTTGCATTAGAGATCAAATATAAATTCTTATACTTCTACTATTTCAATCCTTTCTCCCAATGACTAAATTAATTATAATTAATGGTTATTTATGTGTTAATCTCCCGAGAAGTAGTAGCTTGCCCAAAATACAGAAATAACTATGTGCCACTTTTCAGGATTACTTTCTTTACTAAACAACATTTTGGAAGTGGAGAAAATTATAAACAAACGTGCGTTAGATTTTACATAGACATGCAGCATGCTATTTGCAAGGCTAAAAGTCAACCAAATATCCGCTATAGAGAGTAAAAAAAAGGGAACGGTAAAGAAAAATCCAATTGAGAAATTGAATTTCATAAGTAATATATTTATAAAATCATATATAAGCGATTTAAGGAATTTTTAATTTAATAATTAGATTGATTAATTAATTTTATATTCTACAAAATTTTATTAAGAAGTATATGCACAAAAGTGTGACACACGCACACACACACTATATATATATATATATATATATATTAACTCAACTTCCCTCCTAAATTAAGAATATTGACTCAACATGAAAAGATAAATAATATGATAAAAACAACCTTATGATTATTTACATATTAAATAATTTGTTAAAATAGATAAAATAAGATGATTATTCTATTATAGTTTAACTATTAATAAGATCTTAAAAGAGTAACTAAACCTTTTTATTTATGTATTATTTTTTATTTTGTAAAGATAAAAAAAAAATTAAAATAATGGTTGTGATAGAAAATATTAAATTTAGGTCTTCATATTTTTACTATCTCAACTTTTCCTCTTTGCCACTACATTAATCTTAATAGTTATTTATGTGTTACTTTGGTTGAGATAAAGGAAATTACATAGTTCTTTATAATTATATTCTCATACTTGAACATTTTTTTTTAACGTTTTTTCATGTATAACTTGAGAGCTGTCTATAATGTAATAATAGTAATTAATTAACATTAAATAAGCGAGGGAATCAAATAAGAATGTAATAAATTAAAACTAAATTTTATAATATACGCTATTTAGATAATTTAAAAATTGAAATTACAAATGATTAATGAAAGATATAAATACACAATTAAAAGTGTCAATAGTCTTATGTACATAATTGTCTCTATAATGTTGGTTGGGAAGGCAACACAATGGTGATTTGATAGTTGTGACAATTACAACAACAAAAATGGTGATAAGAACATGATAGCAGTATTGACAAGGATTAAATAGAAAATATTGGAGGGGTGATAGTAACATAGCAATAGTGATAGAAATATTGGTGGTGATGGCATGAGGTGATAATGGTGACTAGATGGAGAAGACAATAGCATCAGGGACGGAGCCAGGATTTCAATACTGGGGGTGCCATATAGTAATATACATATGAGTTTATATTAAAAATAGGGGGTGCCATATAGTAATATATATGTATATAAAAAAAAATTAAAATTGTTGGGGGGGCCGTGGCACCCGTAGGTCCCCCCTTGGCTCCGTCCTTGAATAGCATAATAGAAGCATAAAATAATAGTACACCTGTATCATAAGGGTGGTGAGGTCTGCAAACTGATCAAAAAATAGTTTATAATGTTGACTAATTATTGTTAGTTTTTTCCTTAAAAAAAGTAGGTAGAAGAGAGAGGTATAAGAGTGAGAGCCAAACAAAGGTGGTGACTGGTGAGGTCTACAAGCCCCAAGTGCTGCTTACAGAAGTAATTGTCATCCCCCACTTCTAGTGATCATTCTTGCAAGCAATATTATTGAGGGTTCCATAATGTTTTGTCCACAAAAAAAAAAAAAAATGAATGAAAATTTAAATATTGAAATGGTTCTTTTATTGATTTTGAAAATTATCTCGTTGATCAATGGCACAAAAATTATTTTGTACACCACTAACATTACTTCCATCCATTTGTACGCGCACCCCCTTCCCCTCACAAGTCTTCTTTGCTAAAGACAGTATTAGATCCACATTTATTAAATATTTTTGTCCATTTAATTCGCTAAAAAATGTGTTATTGGTCAGTATATAATTGTTTTTATATTTAATTTAAGAAAATATAATTATGTAATATTTAATTTAAAAAAACATTATTGAACAACATAAATAAAAAAATTAGACAAACTACAAAAGATGTTACATAATATGATTAAAATAATGTATATAAAATTAGAATATAAATTCTAATTTAATTCAATCTCACAAAATTTACTCACCCTTACTTTATATTTATATACATTTTCTTGATTATATTATTAATTGATATCTTTAACAAAGATAAAAACTCAATTTTTTCTTACTAAATAAATTATAAGATAAATTTTTGTTCAAGATACTCAAAATATACCAAATATTTATATTTATTCTTATTTAATACTTATATTTTCCTTCTATTGTATTTTTTTATCGTTATCGTT